ATTTTGTATATTGAGATCTAAATTTGTAAATATTCAATTCTAAAATTGTGAATATAGATTCTAAAATTATGGATATAGAGTTCTGCAATTGTGAATATTGAGTTTTGTAATTTTGTATATTGAGATCTAAAATTGGGAATATTCAGTTCTAAAATTATGAATATAAAGTTCAAAAATCACGGCTGGAAAATATGGAATTTTCGACCACCTGAAAGTGATCTTAAATCAAGTCGAAAGCCTTGTTCCGATCACTTTTGGTATCCGGAAAAACCTTTGTTGCTATTTCCGACCACTTTTTTCTTTCGACTTGATTTAAGATCACTTACAGGTGGTCGGAAATTACATAATTCCCATCAGAATTTCGAAGACAAACGGAAAGTTAAAGGAAGAAACTTTCACATATTGAATAAAGAAGGTTCAATAATAAATCGGTTAAAACTTAAAAGCATAATTTGGCATTTTTTTATATGACCGTAAAAAAATTCGGTGAAAGTGCATACGATAGAAAAATCTATTATATATTCATCATTAGACATCCCTTGTCTTCTTAAAAATTAGAATAGTGAAAGAGGAACATGGGACTCAGGTTTCTCCTTCATTACTGTAGAGAAATGGAAGGACAGCTAGCGTTGAGGTCCTTTTTATCCTAGGATGTTGTCAAGTCAGACAGAGGAGACATTCTTCTTGCTGTTGGTGAGAAGAGATGTCTTGAAGGATTGTCGTTAACAAGACTGTCCTTTCGTGTTAAATGACAACTCCTCTTAAACTTTCGTTGAACATGCTTCATGCTTCGTGTCTTCATTCGTCTTGATTACCCTAACAACTAATCATAACTCGTCTTCGTGTGTTTGGCTAGCTTAACACGAATTACAAGTGAGTTATGGCAACTTTCGTCTAGGACGAAAGAAGCGATCAAAAAGTAATAACGGTTAGGGGTCTATTTTCTAGGTTACATTGGTATCATCAAAATCCTAATACAAGTGTTCCTAACAATACCCTCTAACCAGGATTCCAAGTCCGGCGGGTAGTTTCCAACCTTGTAACGTGGGAATACGACACGTTACATACCCTGGGATCGCAATGTCCATAAATATCTCTCGAGAGGACATAGTCCAAACGGTATCCTCTAAAACCTCACCAATATAGATAATACATAATATATCTCTCATGCATCAAAGAATGATATACACATGCTCATGATTTTCGAAAATAATACTCGAACTCACGTTGGCCCTTATGCATTTTTGAAATATGACATACGTGAAATGCCAAAATGCTCTATAACATGCTTCTAAATAATGTATAAAATAACATGTACTGTTCAAAATATAACATCATGCTCAATTTGCAAATAGCCAACTTCTATGCATTTCACTTCAAACAAATATATTTATGTTCTCTTGGATCAAATAATACAATTTAATCATGCTATAAAAGTGAATCACATTCTCAAATGATCATGCTTCTATACTTAATAAAATCATCAAACAGATCACAAAGATAACAATTCCTCATATACAGTGCATAGCAAAATATATACTCTGTGTAGTATTACTTCACATTTTCCTTCATAACATATTCATTTTAGATCCAAATTCAACGAAATCAAAGCCAAAACGTGTGTCAAGACGGTCCCGAAGAGCCGAGCCACAAGGGCCCATAACACTCGGCCCAAACGACACGTAGCTGAGCCACAAGGGCCCGGCCACTGCACAAAATCTCATTAGAACAATTCTCAGGACCTGGGGCGGGACTCCTCATGGTCCGCCCCATGAGCCCCGTTACTCCACTGGGACTAGGCGACGGCCCTCCTCTAGGGCCGTGCCCTAGTCCCGTGCAACCACGGCTCTAGCCAGCGGCCCTCCTGATGGGCCGCGGCTAGGGCCGTGAGTCTGATCTGGTGCACACTGTGTTGTGCACCATAAGGTTTTTCATCTCCAAAACTCAGTCCAAAACATTCTCAACAACTCATAAACAAATACTAGATCACTTCTAAGCATAAACACAACAAAAGCTCATAATTTCTACTCATTTCTACTCAATAATAAGGCTCCACAGAGCAAAAAAGAGTGTGGGAATCCATGGGGTTATACCTCTTGTAGACTTCTTCCCTTGATCTTCATCCTTGTGTGAAACTCAGCCTCCACTCAACTCAAACACTACTTCCTTCACCTCTTAAACACCTCAACAAACAACACAAACAAAGCTTAAGACAACTCAGAGATGGGAGGCAACAGAGATGGAAACCTTAAGGAAAAGAGATGAAGGGATGAGATGAAAGCTTAGGATCTTACTATTATTTTGCTTTTTCTTGTAAATGAAAGCTCAGACTTGGTGAAGAGGCAAAGAAAAGAGAATCAGGAATGAGCAAATGAGATAATGAAGCTTATAAAGGGTGCAAAACCCCTAGGAAATTCTCTCATGATTAGTGGATGGCGAAATGGTAAATAGTTAGGCTAGAAGATGGAATCAGGCAAGCTTTGGATGGTTTGTGGTCCACCATGCTTCATGAACCAGGGGCTAGAAGATGAATACTTGTTTAAAGTCTTTCTAAATTCTCCCGGTCTCACTCAGATAAATTTCTCGATTTAAATCTTGGTACGCGAAGTACCCGAAAATTTAAGAATTTTCGAAATAGAATCAATTTTGGTGTCGAATTAATTTAAAATGTGACGAAAATAATTTATTCAAACACCAATTAATCGCAAAAATCTTTTAATGGAGTGAAAATGGCTATTTTGGAAGTTCTTAAAATTGGATTTATGAAATAAAATTTTGGGTTGTTACACTCCAGACAAAGAAAACAACCAAATTATTTCTCTGATTATGATGTTCAATTAAATAGTTGCACTATTGTGTCTAGTTTTTTGTTAGGTGATTCATTTGAAGAACCTAAAACTTATAAAGAAGCTCAAGGTATTTTTGAGTGGGAAGAAGCGATGAGGGTTCTCAAGCATACGGTCAGGATTATGAAGAGACGTTCAGCCCCGTTGCTAAAATGGCTACAATCTGGATGCTGTTTTCTTTGGCTGCTTGCAAATATTAGAAGTTGTGGCAACTAGACGTAAATAATGCCTTTCTTTATGGGGAGTTAGATCGTGATATCTTTATGGAGCAGCCAGTGGGGTTTGTTTCTAAAACCTTTCCGGATTATGTCTATCGACTCAAGAAGGGTTTGTACGGCCTCAAACAAGCACCATGTGCCTGGTTCGGTAAAATTGCTCAATACCTTGCGTTTTGTGGTTTTAAATCTTCTGATGCAGATTCAAGTTTATTTGTTAAGAAAACTACATCGGGGAGTATATGTGGATGGCATGATCATTACTGGCGGTGATAGTGCTGAAATTCATCATCTTCGAGATGCTTTGTTTCTTCGTTTTGAAATGAAAAAATTAGGAGAAGTAAATTGTTTTCTTGGCCTCGAAGTTAAAAGAACAAAAGGTTATTTTGTTTCCCAAAGGGGATATGCAGCAAGGTTATTAGATCGGTTTGGTATGAGTGAGTCAAATGCAGTGACTACTCCTATGGAACCTTGTTTAAAGTTGACTAAAGATAGAGGAAAACAACTAAAAGATGCAACTCTTTTTCGTCAGCTTGTTGGTAGTTTATTCTATTTAACCATTACAAGGTCTAACATTTCATACTCTATAGGTGTCATATCTCAATTTATGACAGAATTGCATGATAGTCACTTTGTTGCAGCTAAGAGAATTCTTTGTTATATTAAAGGAACTTTGAATCTTGGGTTATTGTATAAACCGTGTGCAACATTTCTTTTGAATGGTTTTGTTGATGTAGATTGGCGGGAGATGTCAATGATACACGTTCCACGACAAGTTATTGTTTTAATACAGGGTTAGTAGTAAGAAACAAAGACAGTTGCACTTTCTAGTTGTGAAGCTGAATATGTTGCGTCTACCATGGCTACTCAAGAATGTATTTGGCTTAAACGACTTATCTCATAGATGCTTAATGTTGTGGATTATCCGGTTCCTATTCCGTGTGACAATGAAAGTGCCATCAAGCTTGCAGGAAATCCCGTTTTTCATGGCCATACGAAACACATTGATACTCATTACCATTTTGTTTGGGAGAAAGTCTTGACTCAAGATATTCAAATGCAGAAGGTACGTACCGAAGATCAGGTCGCTGATATATTTACAAAAGCACTTGGCAAGGCTAAGTTTGAAACTTTTAGGAGTGCTCTTGGTGTGGTTGACAGTGCGTAAGCACTACGGGGGAGTGTTGAAATTTAATGCAACGTAGGCATATTTTATCTTTTCTATTATTATCTCAATTATTATATTTAGTCTTGTTTTTAGCTTGTTCTGATCTTCATCTGTTATGGTCTTCCTTTTATTTAGAATTATAGCTATTATTTAGGAGAAATAATTTATTATGACTTGTTCTACTTCAATTGAGATTTTTGAGGTTTTTTCTATGTATTTAAGCTGCTTGTCTATGCAGATTTTATGGTGAAAATAAATACAAATTTTATCTCTTTACTCCTAGTTCCGTACACTTTTACGTGTATATATATATATATATATATATATATATATATATATTTCACGAATGGCTTATTTTTACCTTTTCCCTAGAGACCGAAATTGAAATTAACTCTAGAATAATGTATCATGGTCATATACATTAAATGTTATTTCTTTTTTCATATTGTATGAATCTCCAACCCGATAGAATATTTGGAAGGATGTAAATCACGGTGACCCAATGGCTCAGCTGATAAGGTCAAATGCCGATACGCACCGCCTGCCGAAGTTTGAACATTTATCTCTCTTCCAAATAGGACTTACTGAATAAGTGAACCCGTGTGGGCTAAATAAACTATTGGAGGGAAGCTTGTTATCAATTTAGAACCTCACGATTACCAAGCTATTTGTTCAAGCATAGATAATAATTTATTTAAAGATGATAGGGTTTAACAGTACACAACAATCTAGGATATGTTGTAAGTTGTGAAACCTGCAACTAACGTCACTTATTTAGCATAATTAACTAACAAACATGGTACTCACACCTCGGCTTACTACCAGGAAGTACAGAATCTCCTTTGGGCTTTCTGGAACACAACAGAGAAAGAAGAATTTGCAGTGAGAGCCAAACTGACCAACGGGTTCCACACCTCGGCGTATAAGCCAACGTTGTAGCATTTGTGGCCGCCAAACGGACAATAAGTGAATTTGTAAGCGTTATGCTCCGGCACGACTTCAATCTTGAACCTGTCGCTAAGGTTGGGGACAAACTCGCTGGACTCCAAGACGTATTGGCGGTTATAGTACCGGATCCCCCAATAGACACTACCCGGACAAGCTCGGTTCGTAGCATTGAATTCGAAGCTCTGGAACGTCGACGGCAAGACGACGGAGGCGCTGGAATCCGCCGGCCTGATCATAACGCAGGTGCCGGACCTAAAGGGCAGCGTTAGGATCAAGCTTCTGGTATCGCATTCTGGTATAATACGTCCCCAGTAAATTTGCACTCCAAAAGTGATGGCTCCCGGCCCGCCGACGGAGTTTATGTAGTAAGTTTCGCCGGGCCGGAGCTCGTCTCCGTCGGTGTCCAGCACCGGAGTGTCGGCGGCGGTGGGAAGGCGGATGGGATTGAACGTAGAGTGAGTTGGGTTGGGAAGGAGATAGACCACGGAAATTGCGAATAAGAGTATTGCGAGGGTTTTCATGTTGACGACAACTTGGGAGAATAGAATAGGTAGTTATGATAATGTTTGTAGGTAATGTTGTTTGAAGTCTCATTCAATTTATAGGCGACAAATTTTTGCACTTCATTTACAATTGTTAGAGTTGTTGTATTTGATTAATTTGATGACTTTTTTTATATTTGACTCGTGTGGTAGCCACCCAAAATTTATTATAGTAGAAATTTTGTTGATGGTGGTATTTAATTTTTTCATGATTTTAGAATTTTCCACGTAAATAGTGTGTATTATCTGAATCGTGTCGGCTGTGTAATTTTCATTGTCACAAGGGTGGAAAGATAATAAGGGTTTTTAAATATTTTTGTCTAAGAAAAATTTGTGTGATGCATAGTGTTTGTCATGTATTTACTAATAAGAAAAAAAATGTTTGTTTTCCCGAAATAGCATCCTTTATTATCAAATACTAATTATAAAATTGACATATTGAATAAAGAAGGTTCAATAATAAATGGTAGGTAGGTGGCAAGTGGCAACTGATACGATTCTCATCACGCCAATTTGATACACCACGTTTAAGTTTCGATTGTTATGTTTTACATTAAGTTATCATCATCATTATTACGGCACTGACAGTGTGGGCATGAGGCAATAGTACAATTAAATGTGTAGGGTTTTTGTTCATTAATCATATGCTACATTGCTTTCTGATAAGATTTTTGATAAGATCCTTTAAAAACAATCAGATGCTACAAATAAGTGGCGTATATTTAAGTAGCAATAATTTTCTTTTAAAAAATGTAACCCGGTATTGTACGTGCATATCAATCATGCAAATTGTATAAAAAAAGATGTGTTCCCATAACACAACGTCTTGTAGGTTCAATGAATCAATTCATAATTTCATGGAAATTTATATCGTGCACCAGGGTGCACATTGTATTGTACGCCCTGGTACAAAATGACGTCATTTTGCACTTTTTTTTTTTGAAAATTCCGCTATTCCGTATTACATTTTCCTTTAAAAGTATTACATTTATCCTTATAAGTAACAACAATTTTATTTACCCGCAAAAAGTATGACATTTATGTGTATAAGTATCACATTTTCATCTTAATTCAACCCATCTCACGGTGACACGGTTTCATACATGCTTTTGCCAACTAAAAAATAAAAGAAGGATTTTAAGATTTAAAACGCACAAGCAAGGATTGGTTGCATGTGTATTCTTACATGCGCGTACAATGTTGTCAAAATCGACTTCAACCAGTTTATGATAATTATTCATTAATTTAATGCATTTAATATGTTTATAAAAGTCATGATTTTATGTGTTTCGATGATGATGACGACTGTCTTGGTCCTCCACACACACGTACTATGACAAAATATGTCATTTTGTATTTTTAATTAGCATTATGTATGATTTTTTTTTGCTTGAGAATTAAAGTAGAAAAATGAAACAAGAGACCCAAACTGAAATTAACTCTAGAATACTGTATCATTGGCATATATATATTAAATATTAGTATTTTATATGCGCGATGCGCAAAAATATATGTTAATATTAAAACTTAATGTTAAAATCTTAGTTAAATAATTGTGTGTGTGTATATATATATATATATATATATATATATATATATATATATATATATATATATATATATATAATTGTAGAATTCATATTAATATTAATGAAGAAAGAATTATAGAAATGATAATATAATTATGGTAACATTTAATTAAAATCTAAATAAAATCAAACTTAACAATTGAAAAATGTAAGAAAAAGATATTGTGTATGCATGTGCATGGTAATAATAATATGAAAGATAACAGAAGTTATAACGGGCGGGCAGGGATATTTTTGTCCAAATAATTATGTAGTACAACATTTATAGCATAAGGTACAAAAAAGAATTAACGGACATAAAACCAGGGACGACATAACCTGGATTGAAACTTATTATGATTTTAGATTTATTTCTTTTTTTGAAAAGGCCAATTAAATGCTGGTACCCACCGCCGATATGATGCTGAGGTTCAGGTTCAAATTAAACCTTAATCTCCTCCCCAAATACAGTACTCCTTATTAAACCCGTGTAGGCTAAATAAAGTATTGGAGAGAAAGTTGTTGTGAATTTAGGACCTCAGGATTACCAAGCTATTATATTGTAGATAATAATTTATTTAAAGATGATAAGGTTTACACAAACAGCACACAACAATCTAGTATAGGATCGGTTGTAAGTTGTGAAACCTGCAACTAACGTCACTTATTTAATTAACCTGAAAGATCAGACCCCATGCACACCTGACACCCCAGCTAGCTTACGGTGTTAAATTAAATCACAATCTAGCTTTCTTGAACACAATAGAGAAAAAAGAATTTTCAGACAGAGCCAAACGCAGATTCCTGAAGGGCCCGAAGACTAAGCCAACGTTGTAGCATTTGTGGCCGCCAAAGGGACAATAAGTGAATTTGTAAGCCTTATGCTCCGGCACCACTTCAATCATGAACTGGCTGCTAAGGCTGGGGACGAACTGGGTGGTGTTCAAGATGTAATCGCCGCTTGACGCCTCGTACCGGATCGCCCAATAGACATTACCCAAACAAACCTGGGGCATATCAACGATGGATTCGAAGCTCTGCAACCTCGACGTCAAGACGACTGGGGCGTTGGGGTCCGCCGGCCTGATCCTGATGGGGTGGCCGTCGGATAAGGGCCGCGATAAGAGCAATCTGGTCTGGCATGTTGCAGAAACTGGCCAGTCTACTCGCACTCCTACGATGAGGGCTCCCGGATTGCCGATGGAGTTTATGTAGTATGTTTCGCCGGCCCGGAGCTCGTCCCCGTCGGTGTCCAGCACCGGAGTGCCAGACGCTACTGCTACGTCGGCGGTACGAAGGCGAATGGGATTGAAAGTAGAATAAGTTGGGTTGGGAAGGAGATAGAGGGAAAGTGCGAATAAGAGTGCTGTGAGGGTTTTCATGTTGACGACAACTTGGGAGAAGAGGTAGTTATGAATTTATGATGTTTAATTTGTAGCTAATGTTGTTGGAGTCTCATGCAATTTATAGACCATAAATGTTTGCACTTCATTTATCTCGTGTACAAATAAATGGTTATATTACACATACACCCACCCGCCCCCACCCCCCATTTTTCATCGATAAGATTTTTAAAATATTTTATTGATGCATAGGGTTGTAAATGAGCCGCTTGGTTCGAGCTCACTCAACTTCGAGCTCGAGCTTCAATTTTTTAGCTCGATCGAACTTACTTAATGTTTATCGAGCTCGAGCTAGAGTTCGGCTCGTTTACACCCATAAACGGATTATGGATAGTGTTTGCTTGTATTTAGTAAGAAAGTGTTTGTTTTCCCAAAATAGTATCTTTCATTATCATCAATTGAAGAATTGACGCACCTTAAGCACAAAAACGACGTTAAAGCGATTACGATAAAGCGATTTTTTTTCCGCTCCGTTGTTGTCACCACCCATTTAAGAAGGGTTGTCGGCGACCGACAATCATGCCTGTAGATTTCGATGCTGTTCTGGGCTGTGCGTGAAGCTCACGCGCCGCCGCAACCCTCCGCCACTCGGCCCACGCGCCGGCACGTGAGGGCTTTCCGGCCACCAGAAAAAAAAATATTTGTCCCCTGTTTTTGGGTCGCCTAGGTCCCCTATTCTCGGTTCTTGACTTAGTTTGGACCATTTAGCTTCCGTGATTATTGCTTTCCGGTCAGGTTGTTTCATACCCCTTCAGGCTCCCTCGTTTGTGTGGTTTTGTGATCTGTGTTTGTGAGTATGGTTGCGTATATATCTGTTGCTGCTGCTGTCTCAGAATCTTTTGACGAAGAGGGTTTTTTGGTGAAGGGCTTGCGTCTAGGGGTCTTTATGTTGCTGACCTCTAGAAGGATGGAGTCCATTGTGTGTTTTGGTGCTGTCTCGTTTTGTGTTTTGGGTTGTCTCGTTTTGGGTTTTGATGTTGTCTCGTTTTTTGTTTTGGTGTTGTCTCATTTTTTGTTTTGGTGCTGTCTTGCTTTGGTCCTATCTCGTTTTGGTGTTGCCTCTCCTTTGTTTAGGTGATGTCTCTCCTTTTTTATGCTCGTTGATTGGAGCATGCTTCCCTTTTGTTACTTAAGATACTTCCCTTTTGCTAGTGAAGAAATTGTGTCCTCTAGTTTGGAGTTTGTCTTTACCTTGTGTGTTCAAGCTTGTTCGATCCACTTTGTGTTCACCCGGAGTTGCAGTATTGGTGACGTTCACAGCTTTCGTTTAAAGGGGAGTATCCTATCTCAAGCTTGTTCGGTCACTTTGTGTTCACCCGTTGTTCATGGGATTCGTGGCGTTCGAAGCTTTCGTTGGATGGGGGAGTATGAGTATCCAATCTCCAGCTTGTTCGGTCACTTTGTGTTCACCCGTTGTTTGTGGAATTCGTGGCGTTCAAAGCTTTCATTTCAAAGAAGTTTCCTAAATGGACTTGAGTTATTTATTATTTAGTTATTCTGGGTTATCACTCATTTGTGTAACAAGTTGGGCATTATTAAAATATATGCTC